GGAAGTAAAATAAAAGAAGACTGGTAAGGCTAAAGTTTGGATTAATAGTTAAATGTGAAAAAAACTAAATAATAACAAAATTTACAAATTCACTTAATATGGCTAGATTAAGACAGAGAACAGACCATATACATTATATTGTTTTCATGCTTCAAAAGTTTATTTAATGCAAGGCTAAAGAAAAGAAAAAGGTTTTACTCAAATAATCATTTATAAAACATTCACTCTGCTCGAGTCTACCTTTTGTTTTATAAGTAATTATATGAAGAAGCTTTTAGAAAACAGGATTTCTTTGTGGCAGATTAACTGAAAGACAATATAGCATCCTCCACCGGTTCTGGTTCAAGTCCTCTCGGACTGCTCAGACTTTTTTGGCACAGACAGATGGGCGACCATACCAACATCCTACGTCATCCCAGCACTTTGAAGCTGAGCACAAAAAAAAAAAAAATCTGTTAATATAACAGAAACAAAATCCTGTTTATAAAGAACCATGATTGCAGGGAAGATTGATATTCTACAACCGTTTTCCCAAACAAAAACACGAAACAATCAACAATACATGCCCCTGTATTTAATCCAGTAAATGTAATAGTGTTCTAGCTATAGTTTTAATAACATATTTAACCTGCTAATGACCCATTACTCCTTTAACTGCTTAAAAAACATACACTTATGTGTGATATTTTCTTTTACCTGAAAAGTTCATCTGCACACAGTGCTGGTTGCCTAGCGAATTGTTAGGCTCTCCTGGACACCAGTTTGTGTAGTGGAATTGGCTTCCATCGCTCCAAAACCAAATGCTTGACTGAAAGAAAAAACCCAGCAGATTATAAACGTCTTTCAATAACTTATCAAAATACTTAACAAATAAACTAACTAGCAAAAAAAACACCTTCTGTGCATTGCTGGCTCCAATCCATGCTCTGTTGGACCCATAACTTGCTTCTCTTATCACATGCTGAATCTGATGGTACTCCTTTGAGTTATGAACTGATGCCAGGTGTCCCCCCATGGACATGCAGTGCCTCTGAAGACAAAAACAGAATGATGTACAGAAGTAGTAGCTGCATTCTGTTAATCAACAACCATGAGATAAGTGAGTAAAAAAGTATAAGAGCACAATGTTATTGAAAATCACCTCAGCTGAAGCCCAATCCATGGGCATGGAAACATAGTGGTAGCAGTTACCGTTGTACTGAGACCAGCCAGAATGACAAGAAGCAGATCTCTGGACCAAGTCCATTGCTTCTAAAGACAAACAAATGGAAGTCTTAGTTATAAGCAATGTATAAGCATTAGAATAAACTTTATTCTTCATGATCCTATTAAAAAACAACACTCACTGACCTTCATCAGCAGAGCCATCATCTGGAACAGCTGTGGGCATTTTAAACAACAG